AGGTAGGTGCTGGCATTTGGGTATTAAAACCTCTCATAAATATTATCATGTCAATGGCACGATATCCTCTGTGTTTCAAGCAGAGGTAATAACAATACTAATAGGGGCCTAGAACCTGATAGTGTTCAAGAAATGGAATATAATTATCCTAAGTGTTTGGAAGCTGCTCTGAAGGCACTTAGTAATATCCAAGTGATTTCAAGGCTAGTCCTTGAATACAGAAAAACTTTAGAATCACTAGCAACGGTCAATAAAGTTACATTAGCATGGGTACCAGGGCACAGCGGCGTGGCTGGTAATAAAAAAGCAGGCTGTTTAGTGAGCAAAGGTGCAGAAACATGTTGAATCAGAACCAGTGGTAGGACTCACAGAGCAATTTCTCAAATTACTACCCAGAAACTGGTGCTGAGAACACAGGAAAATATGGTGTTACCCAAACAATCAAAAATGTTTATCAATACTCTCGGTTTACTATTTTCGGATCTTAATAAAATGACTAGATATCAAATAAGCACTTAGACTGGACTACTCACAGAATGCGGTCATCTTAAGCATGTTTACATAATGGGAGTGACAGAATCACCTTAGTACAGGAAGTGTAGAACAGAAGAGCAAGATTTATTTCACATTATGTATGATACCCTAACCACATTAAGATTTAAACATTTGATAAAATCTATTCTCCAAAAAGCAGATATGGAAAACCTAAAACCCAAGGAGTACTTTCGCTAAAAAAACAGGACTATTTGAATATATATAGGTGCGATCTACTAGGAAAACTTATCTGAAGTAACTGAATTAATATAATTCCGTAGGAGGTGCGCACAATGGACTTATTGGTCTGAGTGCATGGGGAATTCTTGCCCACCTCTATAATAAATAAAACTAAAACTATAAGCATTTCAAAATTTATATTACAAGTGAAAATCGGGTATGACTATTTTTATCACTATACATAATTCGGTCGCATTTTAACTCTCGCCGAGGTATAAAAATGCTAATAGATTTTGAAAAATTTTCTAATAGTCGTTATCCCCCTATGATTTTTTGTCTGATCATTTTCAAATATTTAAAATCTCAAGGTAGGGGGTTAATTTTTGCTTTGTAAAAGACTATTTTAAGTAATTAAAATGTTAATGATTGTGTATTGAAGTCTTTATAAATTTGAAAACTATATAATAAGTTTTATTCAATAGAATGTGTCATAAAAACTATCAAAAATTAACTAGACATAAAATACGAATCCAACGAGATATTAATAGCCCTACCAATTGTAATGCTTTACAAATTTATATCAAACATTTTTCTTAAATTACCAAAATAAATAATTCAACAATAAGTAACCTATTTTTTTTAAGGAATTTATACACTTTTATGTTCCTATAATTATCGAAATACAGTTATTATTAGAAATAAATATAGTTTAAAAAAACTAAAAAACACGCTTTTAAAGCACATCGAACTAAAAAGTTAAAAATAATTTTTAAAATTAACTTAAAACAATAACGAACGAAAAATACTAGTATTATTGTGAAAAAAAGGGTCAGGCGCTCAATATACAAAAAATATGGCATAAAGCACCCACGCTTTTTTTCACAATAATACTAGTATTTTTCGTTCATTATTGTTTTAAGTTAATTTTAAAAATTATTTTTAACTTTTTAGTTCGATGTGCTTTAAAAGCGTGTTTTTTAGTTTTTTTAAACTATATTTATTT